GGGGGCAAGGTAGCAGCTTCTCCAAAATCTATTTGTGTGTCATCCTGTGCGCAGGAGGCGTGTCAATCGCCTTCTCTGTATCCCTCTGCAAGAAGATCCTATCCGCTGGCTGCCATCAAGAATTCTGCATGTGACCAACGAGCCTACCGTCTTCACCGGAACAAAACGCACCGCCATTATTGCTGCATCTGGTCTTAAAGTTGCACCAAATACAGCTATAATGACTGGTCAGTCGGTACACCCACCAATACCCTGGGGCTGGTCAGCTCAACGATGATATCTTTTTTTTTTTTTTTTTTTTTTTTGTTTGTTTGTTTTAGGACAACGATGATATCTGAAGGCTTTCGCGCTTTTGGAAAAAAAAAAAAAAAAGAGAAAGAATTCTGCATGTGATAAGAGAAGAAAGCTGCCATCTTTTGGTCCAATTGGCTGAGATTTTTCGGATTCTGAGCGTTGCTTGGCTGTTCTGTCCGTGTGTTCGTGCGGCGATGAGACGAGTGCCGAAGGCCGAGTCTGATTTTTTTTTGTGAGACTGTATCTGTGAGTTAATCATGTTCGTGTGATGTGTTTGTGTGTCCAGGGAGGGGTAGATTCAAGAAACAGGGGTAGATACAGGGACATAACCGAAATTTGGCTATTATAGAACGGCCGGCCCAGGGGTAAAAAAATGTAGAATTTGTTAGGGATCGGAAGGGGGGTTCCAGCAAGCAGGGAAGGCCCAAGGGTAGATTTTGAATCAGGGGTAGTTATGGGGGCATAACTGAAATTTGCCTACTATAGGACTTACGGGAAATTATAAGATGGTCAGGGGCAATAATTATAGATTTTGTTAGGGATCGCGTAGGGGTTTTCCAGCAACTAGGGTCGCCCCTTGGATCTGGTCGATAGCCGAGCACAGTCATGATGGTACGGGACTGAATCTGGGTCATATTTCTGTCTAGGGGGTAACGTCGCTGCAGGGGTAGCTCGCAATGGTGTTCCCTCAGAAAGCAGGTACCCCTAGCTGATTTAGGACGGCAGTAGGGTAGATAGTACCCAGGTGATGGTATGGAACTGTATCCGGTCCAATACCAGTCCTGATTCATAGCTGCAGGGGTAGCTCACAGTTGGCAATGATGTTCCCACCAAAACCAGGAACCGATAGCTGAGTTAGTACTTTCTACCCCCGAATAGAACACACCGTCATTGCCAACTGTGAGCTACCCCTGCAGCTATGTATCAGGACTGTGTATTGGACCGCATACAGTCCCATACCACCACCCGGGTACTATCCACACCTCTCCTTCCCCTGAATAGAACACACATTCATTATCACTGTCTCGTCGACTGCAAGTTGGTACTATCCCATACCAATGACGATACATTCTAACCGGGGGACGACGGTAGTATGGTTGCCATGGGCGGCAAGAGTATATCCTTCGGAGGTAGTAATAGTAGCTGTAGTAGCTGTAGTAGTCGTAGTAGCAGCAGGCAGCAGCAGTAGTAGTAGCAGTAGTGGTGGTAGTAGTAGTGGTAGTAGTAGTAGTTGTAGTAGTGGTGGTGGTGGTGTGGTGGTCTGGTGGTAGGGGTAGGGGTAGTGGTAGCAGTAGCCGTAGTGGTAGTAGTAGTGATAGTAGTGGTAGTGGTAGTGGGAGTGGGAGTGGTGGTGGTGGAAGTAGTAGTAGTAGTAGTAGTAGTAGTAGTAGTAGCAGCAGTAGGAGGAGGAGGAGGAGGAGGAGGAGGAGGAGGAGGAG